CAATTTACACAACTATTTGGCCAGGGACTGAGCCACAACCCAGCCTCTGGCGCTCCCCCCCGCCCCCTCGCCTGCGTGGTTCCCTGTTCTCCCCATCAGCCCGTGTCATTTCCCCAAACACATTCCTCTTTATTTGGCAAACACAGCACATTTATTTAGAAATTGGCTTGTTTGGAGCCTGGAGTTTGGCATAGCACATTTTGGCTGTGAGGAGTTAAAATGTTTCCCTCTTTGTTTTGGTCGGCTTACTCACGGGTTTGTGAGCAAAATATGCAAAGCAATAAAAGCACCGCAAGGCTGCTCAAGTAGTTCAAATGCGAAGCGCCTGGAAACGTGACAACATCAATTCACTCAGATTTATTTTGTATCTCTAGATAGTAGATTAAAAACCCATGAGGTTTACATCCAAGGATTTACAAAACCAAATAAGCCAACAGCTGAGGTCTCTTTCGGGGCTGTTTCTGGTAGGTGGGGCAGGTGGTTGGAAAAAGCATTCCTGTGGACAGGTTGCCGGAGGCTCTTCCTGTCCGCCTCCTAAGGGCAGGTATTTCAGGCTGTCACACACAGCAATAATCAGGAAGAAGGGACGCACAGCCATTTGTGGAATGTCACCCCAAATCCTTTCTACTTTATTTTGCCTATTGCAGAAGCCAAAGAAGGTTTCCCTTTTTTATTATCAACACTGAAAACTCATGCCAGTAATTCATACTAAAAATGTGAACACATTGCATCTATGACAGACAGGGTATCCTCCTGGTCGCACAATGGTTAAGGACTCTGCTGTAAACTGAAAGGTCGGTGGTTCAGATCCACCCACCTGTTCTACTCCGTCATGTGGATGGGAAACCAACTGGAAGGCACCTAAGAACAGAGTGCCCCAGGTCCCTGCTCACATGGCCCATTGCCGTGGAGTCAGAACACACTCATAGCTGACCCTCCAGAGGCTGTAACCCTCATGGGAGGAAATCGCCCACCTCTCTCACCCTCCAGTGAGTTTCAGAGACTCTGCATCACGTAGGAAGAGACTGCCCATCTTTCTCCCACAGAGCAGCTGGCTGGTGGATTCAAATCACCTGCCTCTGGGTTAGCAGCCCAACTCCTTACCCACTAGGCCACCAGAGCTCCCTCTTAAGTCCTTGGAGCCTACTAATTGTGCCATAAGGTTAAGGTGGCTTTCTGGTGAGGTCAGGACAGCACTTTACGTGTGACATGAACTCCTGGTGTCTGTTCTTGTGGCCATGGAGTCTGGATGCAGCCCCTGGTCAGTTCTCTGCGTACCTCCACCTTCCATTCTTGTGTGATTGTTCTAGGACTCGGAGAAGGGAGTCCTGGCCCTGCCCACAACCAGGTAAAGGGTCAGCTCAGGTAGTGAATTCTCTGTTTTAATGAAGAGTGTGGTTTGGCTGGCAGCTTTTGCCACTGTCTTAATCTGATAAACCAGGTATGGGCTGAGCATAGAAACAGTTTTATCCCATATTCTATAACACAGCTGCGTGAGTCTCCGTGCCTCTGTGCATGTGATACTTTATACAGGGAGCCCCTCATAACACACAGAAATTTTTAAAAATTCCATCAAGAATCCACTGGGACATTTTTGACTGGAGGCTCCAGGTGGAGACCTGAAGTGGCCTTGAATCCTGGGGCCTCCTGGGACATTCAGGTGATGCCTAATTGAGGGAAGTGGCCAGTCAGCCAAGCTTAGGAAACCCATCTGCTCTGTCTGGGCTGCTGTTGGGTGTTGGGGTTATGGTCTTGCCCCTGCTCCTGGTCTAGAGTCAGAAGCCTCTGGGCCTTCAATGGACAGGCCCACAAACCTGGGAGGAACCAACTGAAGAGGAATAAAATTGTTCTTCCAGCCTTGTCCACAGAACCCTGTCTCGTACTTGGCCTCTGCTTTCCTCTTCCTAGTCTCATTTTTCTGTTGGATTTCTTAAGTTCTGATACAAAACCAAGCCTTCCTGAGGCCTTCAGCTCTTTCCATACAGCAGGTAAACTCCCCACAAGCCAAATGAAGCTTTCCGTTCCAGTGACGAAATGCATGGGCTCCCAGCTCCCAACCCAATGGGACCCTGTGAGGGTGCCTATCAGACACGTGGTGACAAAACTGTCAGCCAGCCAGCTGCTTTCCTCTGGAGATGGTGCATATTTCTGGGGCCAGGGGTGCAAGAGGGAGAGTAAGAGGCCTAGAAGTAGGGAAACGTTCTGTGGCTGACCACCCACAGTATATGAAATACCACCTTGCCTAGCCAGATTGTCAGCCAAATGTGGAGGCTTCTTCAGGACCCTGTGACTTCACCTGGTTTCTCACCCTAGAAACAAATCACTCTCCAGAGCTACCCAGTCCACTGGCTATAAAGTTTGCAGAAAATTCTTTGGTCCATCTCTGAGACGTATATTTCAACAGAGATCCTGGGGATAGTCGGAGACTAGCATTAACTACGTTTGGATCTACTCCTTGGGGTTAAGCGCTTTGGCTAGAGAAATGGAGGCTATTAATGTCCTGTGGCCTCTCTTTGTGATACATCTTTAGTTCTTTTTGTTGTAAACAACCCCAGCTGCCTGCAGCCAAACAGCTCTGCATCTCTGACCACTCACACGGCAGGGGTCAGCCAGGCTCAGGGGGTCAGCCAGGCTCTATCTGGTGAGGGCCAGACCAAGCACTTCCCCAGCTCTGCCTGCACTGGGCCCTGGGCTGTCGGGGAGGTCTTTCCTCTTTCTATACTCTCTCTGTTCTTTCCCTGCAGGATCTGGGATGGTTGGCTGAATTCCCATAGGGAAGAGGTGTGAGGAAGCTCCCGAGAGGGACAAATGGGGCTGTACACTACATTACATTTAGCCACAATAGGAGCTGTCCCCTGGCCATTTTAGTCATAAAGATCACAGATGCCTTGCTGGTTGGGCAAAAGCAGAAACCAGCCTCTGGCTGCAGGGCTGGGGTTCAGATCACTTCAGTGCCCAACAGTGCTCTTTCCTAAAGAGGACTCTCTTACAGACCTTTTATCCTTCAGGCGTCCTGGAGTTCATGCAGCATCTGTACTCAGGGGTCCAGCACTTGTTCTACTCTGTCACTGCGTCCTTCCTGAGGGGGTGTCTGGTTATCTGTGGACACCCCACATCCACCCTGGGATGTCTCCTGCCGAACCAAACTTCTTTCTTTCTTTTTCAACGTTCTTCACAACACTTATAATACAGCATGATTTCTGGGAACAGATCTTGGAAGCGGGAGTGGCATCCACTTCCTAAACAACATGCCTCTGGAAACTCTATGAACTTCAATAAATGACGATAGTTACAGAAAGGCTTTAGGCCTTTTGTTCACAGGATAGCTATGAGTTGTGCTCAACTCGACAGCAATCAGCAACAACAATCTGATATTTAATTGCTGCTGATATTTTGTACCTTGAATGAAGATAAGCTTTATATTTCAGTTTTATATGCTTTTCAGAAGCAGCCCAACTTTTCACTGCAACAGAACTTCCTTAAAGCCAGGTTCCATCTCAGCCCAAACGCCATGCACCAGCATCTTCTTGCTGGCGAGCTGAACTTTCCAGGTCAAGGTCTTGGGTAGGAAGTTCATTCTTGAAGAAGCAGAGATTTTCCTGCTAAATCCTCGTCAGCCACCTTGGTTTCAAGCACTCAGGGACTTTGCTTCACAACAGACTCTAACTGCGGTTCCTGGTTGGGATGCCTCAAGAAACCAATCACTATTCATTGTTGAGTCCAGGAACCCACTCAGCTGACTTGACTCACAGCAGTTCTCCAAAGGCTATAATCACACAGGAGATTTTCCTCTTTGAGCTGCTGGTGGATTTGAACCACCAGCGGCACTGCCTTTGGGTTAACATGCATCTCCCTATGGACAATGCCAGCAGAGTGCTATATTTTTCATTTAGTGCTAAAAAAATTGAGCTCACAGGAGGAAAAACATTAAGGGGCATGCCCTGCTTTTGGAATCCCTGGGTGATGCAAACAGTTAAAAAATTCTGATGCTAACTGAAAGGTTGGTGGTTTGAGACCACCTAGAGGCACCTAAAAAAAAAAGCCTGGTGATCTCTTCTCAAAAACACAGCTGTTGAAAACCCTACACAGTTCTACTCTGATGCGTGTGAGGTTGAAATAAATTGGAGACAACAGCAGCTGTTTTTGCTTGATTTTGGCAGTCCCCCTCTTAGACGAGCAGAATGGCCAGTGAGAAAAATGGGCCTCAAATGTGGCATTGAAATGAAGAGTCCAACACCACTGTTGACTCTTGGGTTGCACACAGCACAGCTCAAAGGTAGGGGGTCGGGTTACAGGTTGGGGTCACACCTGTGATCAGCAGCAACACACCTGCTGGAGGACTGGTTCTCAGCAGAAAGGACAAAGTGAGGGAGCAAAGCCCTAAGATGCGGTTCCCCCGAAGCTTTCCCTCTCCTTCATCCTCCGTGATGACATGTGGTCAGGGGCTGGCTGCAGGGCTGAGAGCAGCAGTACCCAGGGTTCGAGAGAATGCTGCCAGACTTTCAGAGCCATAGAAACCGGAGCTAAGCGCACAGAATCCATAGCCCTGAGGACCAGCTCTGGGGCCTACGGACCCTGGAATGCAGCAGTCCCAGTCCGGATTTTCATTCTTTTGTGCCTCATGCAGGAGCACTGGGTTACCAGGAGCATCTGAATGTCTCCAGGTGGGACAGGACCACTGGGACAGCTACAGAATAGACTACTGAGAGACCTAAAATGGGGAGACCCTTCCCATCAGAAGAGGATGAAATTTGGTTATTTCTCCTTAAAAAAAAATCAATGTGGCTGCCTTCTTTTGCCTGCTTCAATACCAGGCTGTAATTATTAAACCATAGCTCTGGCCCACATACCACTGTCTCCCACTCCCCACCCAGCCCCGGGGATGATAAGAAGAGGGCAAGAAAAGTCACTTCGTCACTTCTCTCCTTGGCTGGGATATGTCTTTCCTGAGGTCCTCGGGTCTTTACTGCCTACCCTTCCGAGGGAAGACACAGCGGTGCTCAGCACTGCTCAGCCTCCACGAAGCCCTCCTTCTCATGGCCCGAGGGCTCCACTTCTGTGTAGGTGGAGTGGCTGGGGTGGTTCCGGAACTTCATGGCCGGCCAGTGGTGAGGTCGCCGCTGAGGATGGCAACAGACACAAAGTCAGCAGCGTGCCCATGACAAGACAGTGCTCCAGAAGGACAGGTCCTGCAGCAGAACCAACTGTCAGGCTTATCAGAATGCAGCTATCTAGGCCTGCATCTGACTTGCCCCATCACAAGCCTGGTTGCCTGGGAATCTGTGGATGACCAGGTAGGCTAAACCTTAAGAAGGATTTACTAGCACTCACAAGAAATGGGGGTCACCTAAGCAAAGGGCAAGGAAACATCCAAGGTCCCTGAGTAATGAGGTCACTGGGCTTATGACTTAGCTATGCAAGCAAGAGCCGAGAAGCAGCCCAGCCGCATGGAAACCTGGGGTCAGGAGCTGCCAAACTCTGTGACTAGAGTGAAGGAGGCTATATCCCTTCACATGCTGCATCTCGGCTGGTTCTCCAGAATTCTGAGACATTCAAATCTGTAGCATTCTCAATGGAAGCTTCCAGAGAGCACAGCACTTATTACAATTACAGTTGGTCAATTCCAATCTAAAAATGCTAAACACCAGGCACCCCCCCCCCATAAAACTTTGGTTCTATTTTGGCTTTGAATAAGCACTGAGCATGGAATCTGAGCGCAAGAGACCATAAACTGTCAGGACCAGGCTGCACAGTCACTAAATGGTCACTGTGTGGCACTTCTGGTATTTCCTTGGTGGACTTTTCTGGTTTCACAAATAGGGGAGTCACAGCAGATGCGCTGTTGAGCACAGAGGGCAAGCTGCGGGAGCTCTGAGGTGCTGCCCCTGGTGTTAACAGAACCACACTGACATTAACCTGACTAAAAGGGCGAGGTGGCCCAAGTGAGCTGATAAAGGTGTCTCAGGTAGGAAGAAGGTTGGTGAGGGCTGAAAAGGGGAGAGGCGAGTACTAAATGGCCCCTGGCACATGATGCAGAGGGAGGTGGCGAACCTGGGGCTAAATCTCGCACTGACCTCGATGAAGAAGAGTGCAGCATTGGAGGTAGGGTGGCCGTTGATGTAAATCCCAGCCATGATGATGGCTGCCACGAGAAGAACTGCCAGCACTATGCCCACGATGGTGCCCAGGTGTACTGGAGGACCCCTTGTCTCAGGGGACAAGTTGTTCTGAAGGTCTGTGGAGAGACCGTTAGGGCAGGGAGGGGCTGCTGGTGATCAAGGTAGGAGGGCACACGGCTGGGGAAGGAAGGAGGCCTGGGTTCTGATAAAGTCCTAGAGATGAAGGCAGACTGCACCTTTGGATCTAGTTTTCAAATACATGGAAAGGTAAAGCAGGAGGCGGTGGCATAATTTTGAATAACATACAACATAACTCTTGGCATTTACTAAGGTGGTTTTCTCAGAATCCTCTGAAAGCTGCTCACTCATCCCAAATAGTTCTTAAGGATTGTGGTAAAAGAAGATCTTTCTGATTGATATCTGTGTCACATAAGCACTTTTAAAGACTTCACAAATGGAATGTGACAGTTGAGTTTTGTCTATAGACTCTGGCTCCCTGGGTTCAAATCCAAGCCCTGCCACTTACTGGCTACACAATTTGGGGAAAATGATTTAATTTCTTTGTTTCCAGAGACCACTCTGTAAAGCAAGGGCATTAATAGTAATTCCTAATAGGGTTCTTATGGGTATTCAAATGGGATATTTTTATGTCAAGTGCTCAGGAAAATGCTTAGTATCTGGGAAGACCTCCAGTACTGTTAGCTATTATCACAAATGATCATATTATCATTTGCCAATGCCCACCACTACCTTGTGACTGCCTACAGGACAGGCAATGTCTTATTAATTTCTGTACGGTAGACCCACTGGAACACAATAACAAGTCCATGGAATGAGTGAGGTTTTCTGGCAGCTAATAAACAGCATGCACTCTCCAAGAACATCTCACGTATTTGAAATACACTCCAAAGAGGGTTAGTATTTTCCACACACTGGAAACCTAGAAGCTCATCTAGTCCACCTCCTGTTTGTATGACTGAGGTAATGGAAATACAGAGAAGGGAGATGATTGGCCCAAAGACACACAGTTATGGTGCCAGCCACTAAGAAGCCTGGTTTCCTGATATTATTACATAGGGTGGTTATTTCCTTCTCCACCCTACCCTAGAGGTATATGGAAGTAATGAGAAGAGGAGACAGGACAGCATGTATACAACAGAAATACTGAATCCTTTTCACACAGCTAATGGGAAGGATGGAAGTCAACAGGCAGGAATTTTTTTAATAGGATGTCACAAGCATTCAAAATCATTGTCCTCCATATCCCCCCTTTTTTGCTGATTATTGTATAAGCAGAGGAAACCCAGCAAAGTGCCTATACCCAGGAACTCAAGTGCATACTTGGTGTGTCCACTTGTCAACAAGTAGGACAGGTCAGGTGGGACACTCCAATATAATTGTTATGTTAACCTTACCTTCTCTAACATAATTGGCAGCCAGACCACAGCCTATACTGACTTGGTGATCTTATGAGCAGGGCTGCCATTGGTGAGTAAGAGAGACAGAAGGAGGAGAAAGCAGCCCAGCCACTTCCTAGCCCACCACTTCCACCCTGTACCTACACTCACCCCGTCTTAGAGAAGTCATGGCTCCATGATTGTGGTTGTTGTTGTTATGTGCCGTTGAGTCGCTTACAACTCACAACCCTATGTACAACATCCCTAAACTCTGCTCTGAACTGTGCCAATCGCACTGTCTCTAATACACCCATCCCGATTACCCCAGTCACTGAATCGATACACCTCATAGAGGGCCTTCCCCTCCTGCGCTGTCCCTCCGCCCTCCTAAGCATGATGTCCCTCTCCAAGGACCGGTCCCTCCTTACAGCATTTCCAAAGTATGTTAGACGTAGACTCAGAATCCTTGCCTCCAAGGAGCAGCCCGGTTTAACCCTCTCCAGGATGAATCTATTTGTTTTCTTAGCAGTCCATGGTACCCTCAATACTCTTCTCCAGCACCACAGCTCAAAGGCATCAATTCTCCTTCTGTCCTCCCTAGTCATTAGAGATTCAATTAAGTTGCTTCATCAATATGCTGATCCTTACATAATAATCCCCAGGACTTATAACGAAAGGTATCTCAACCACCAGTCCATCTTCATTTCCTTTCCATCCACTCACTAAGTGGTTGCAGCAGGAACCTGGAGTTTGGGAATCCCACCACTTGGTGTCCTGCAAACCCTTGTGGTAGATAACTTCTGTACACTCTCCTATCCCCTGACGCTTACTATGAGAGAAGCTTTCTCCCACTGTCATTGACTGTAACAAGGTCCGTGGGAATGAGGCGCCTTAGCCACGCCTCACACTGTCACACCTGCTCTGGCTCAGTCTTTCTCTCTTCCTCCCCCAGGTCAATGGCAGGGATAGGAGAAAAACCAAAGAAAGTGCTTGACTGAAGTGAGAAGTATCTAAGTTTAGAAAGTTCCTTCCATCTAGGAGCCCATACCTAGAAGTCCACCTGCCTTCCTACCCAGCCTGAAGTATGCGAAGCCCAGGCTGCTGTAGCTTCCTCTTCTCCCTCACTCAGAATAAAGGGAAAGAAGTCAGGTGGCCACTCCACCCCCCCTTGGGGGTGGGCTCAAGAAGCACTGGCTGTGGTCAGGAGGGGCCCGCAGCTCTTACCATCTCCTCCTGCGTAGGGATTCAACTTGGTGTCATCTCAAAGAGAGAAGAGAGAAGGGCAAGATTAGTGAGGTTATTGTGCACAAATGAATACATGAAAACTCCACCTTTCTATAAACTTTCGTTAAAATCACAATTAAAAAGAAAAAATATAGCTTTTGCCATTTTGCATCTAGATGAGACTTTGGGGGCATTTACTCCAATTTTTCATCCCAGAGACAAGGAAAGTGAAGAACAGAGAAGCGAGGTAACTTGCTCAAAAACACACAGTCAAATGAGGATAGCTGGTCACTAACAAACCACCTTACCCCAGTTTTGCACTTATCCATTCCACAAGTATTTGTTTTTACTATAAACTTGACTTCTGGAGGGAAGTGCTATTATGAGTAATAGATAGACATCATTCCTGGCCTCAGGAGGTCGGGAGGGAATATGAGGGGGAATTAAAACCCAGTGTGATAAGGCTGTGCCTGGGATTCTTCACTCAGACAAAGGTCACGTTTTCCTGGGAGAAGTGATATTCAGCTAAGGTTAGGGTAGGATGTGGAATAAAAGTTCCCAGTGAGAAGATGAAGCAAGGGACCAGAGTCGGATGGAACTTGGCTAGTGAAGAAATACAAGGCAGTTCAGTGTCACCGAGGGAGGAGAGTTCATGAGTGGGAGTTGATGACAGATGAGGCTGGTGGGGGAATAGGGTGGTGATGCCTGGAAAGACAAGCTGAAGGCCTTGCATGTCCTCCAAAGGGTCAAGGGGAAGTAAAGGAATGATTTGAGGAGAAGGGGGTGTGTGTATGTGTGTGTGACAGGATCATATTTGCAGGGTGACCTCCTTGGGCTGCATTGTGGAGGACAGAGTTCTACCCCAATGCACTCTCCACAAGGCTTCCTAAATAAGTTCCAATGGGTGATGCTTCCTGTGGTTCCCAGACACATCAGGGAAGGGAGAATGTTCCAGATGACTGCAGATTACAGCTTTAAGCATGGAGAGTTTAGATAAATGTAGCCATTCCACAATTCATGTCGTGCAAATACAAATAACACCTCCACTATCCATGCCATTTTAAGGACTTTAATTGATTCCTCTTTGCCCATGAACTTCACAGGCATTCAAAGCCCTTCACAATTTCACTCTGATCTTCATTCCTCCGGTCTGTCACCTGTCACAACCCAGAACTGTAGCTACAGCAAACAGGCTCTGTAGACCCCTCCTCAGGTCTTTTTAATCTGAGTCACCGCTTATACTGTTCCTGCCACATGGGGTGCCCTTTGTCTCCATTATCCCACTTTTAAAAGTCCCACCACTGAAGGCTGAGATGAGTGGATGAGGGCTGTGCAAAAAAAGAACTTTAAGGGGCACAGGGCCTACATGCATGGTGATGAAGCAACATAAGTAGAGATAGATGGTGACACATGACACTTATACTCAACGTTAGGGAACATTTCATGTAGAAATTGGGAATGGATGTAAGCTTTGGCTGTATGCATTTTTTAATTTATTTATGTGATTTATTTTCTGCCTTGGCATTGATTCTCTTAATAATGTCCTTTATTTTTTTCATTATTTTCTCTTGAACTGGAAAGTCTAGAACTTCCCTTTTTGAGTCATAGGCACAGAGTCTAGCCATCCCCAGAATACCTTGGATGGGTTTATCAGGGCATATGGGGTTTGCCTAGGAAGAATGTTATGGACCGAATCATGTCTCCCAAAAAGACGTGTTGTAAATCCCAACCCCTGCGACTGTGTTTACAATCTCTTTGGAGAATGGGTTGCCTTTATTATATTAATGAGGCAGGATTGGTGTAGGGTGTATCTTGCATCAATCTTTTCCCCCCTTTTTCCCAAGCATCTGTTTTAAAATATTTTTTAAAGAAAAAATAAAATGTAAATATTTTAATCTTGATTATTTGGAGGGTGTGGTGCTTCCTTAAATGTGCCTGTGGCAAGCCGCCCCCTCACTCTAGTCCTGGAAATGGTTGTGCCAACAATCCCCCCAACCCTCCAGGAGAGATGGCTGCATCCTCTGTTCCCTTGAGTTTGGTACCTGTAGCTTCTGCTGTATCTCAGCTCCCATTGTTTCTCTACAAACTGTGAGCTTTCCCATACCCAAGTGATCTCCACTCAAGGGGCCTGTTCTGATATACATTTCTAGTCAATGTTGCTATAATAATTTTCTTAAAATCACATTAGAGAATGAAAGAATAAAGCATTTTTTTTTAAAAAAGACTCCTTATAGAGAACTCTGGTAGCTTAGTGGTAAGGAGCTGTGTTGCCAACCCCAAGGCACTGGATTCAATCCACCACATGGTCCATGGGAGAAAGATGGGCAATCTCTCATGGGATTAACTGTCTCTGAAAACCCACTGGAGAGTCAGCTATGAGTCTGTTCTGACTCAACAGTACACAGCAATATATGGAAGGAGGGGCTAGGCTGAGGAAAGAACTAGAAACTAAGCTTCTTTGAATATACTTGGTTGTGTAGTTTAGTCTTTGGAACCATGTAAATCATTATTTAATAAATGTATAATTAAGAAGAAAGGTAGCCCTAGTGGCCTAGTGAGAAGGAGCTGTGCTGTAATCCCGAAGGCACAAGGTTGAAATCTACCAGCTGCTCTGAAGGAGAAAGATGGGCAATCTCCTCCTGTGTGATTAAATGGCCTCTGAAAACTTGCTAGAGGGTCAGCTATGGGTCGGTTCTGACTCAATGGTATATAACAACAACAATTAAAAAGCAGTCCTCCCAAATGAATGCAAAAGAAACAGAAATCTGTAGACTTAAAGTGATATTCCATCAGAAATGTCAACATGAGGTATTTAAAGACAGCTCTGAATCTATTTTGTTACTGCAAGCTGAAGTAATGAATTAGATAATCCAAACTGAACAAAGTAACCCTAAATATTAACATGACTCAAATCAACTTGTTTTCAAAACTAGACTACTGAGATCAGAACCGGTCCAGATCTCGCCTCTCGCTGGTAAACAAGGACATGGTGCCATGAACAGCTAGTCCCTCTCACAAAGCTACAGAAGGAGACCCATCAACTTTTCTCCTACTCAATCAGTATGGGTTCCTAGCCACCAACTTTCTGCAGTCCTTGGAATAAAAGTGGGCTCCCTGACTAATGGATTGTGACATAGCTGCCTGGAAACTCTCACCCAATAGAAGAAATGCACATAAGGTTTACTGAATGAGTGGTCATTTTTCTGTAGTTTAGCAGTCACTCCTTGCTGATAGAAACATGCCCTATTATTGTGCATGTAAGATGAGCCTTGTATTATATATAGTCACTCTGGATGAACACCTGTCTCTCCCTGCAATACAATGCAATGGCCCTGTGACAGTTTTAGTCCCTCAGAAGCCATTCTGTCTCATGTAAGCAAGTAACATTTAAATTTTTTTTTCCCTTTTATACTGGTTTACTTACAAAGTTCATATACAATGGTTTTTACCCCAGCAAGTAGAATTTAATTACAAGTACACAACTCTTAAAATCCACTTTTATAACCTTGTTTCCTGGGCTTTGTATTAGTTACCTAATGCTATTATAACAGAAATCACAAAATGGTTTTAATAAACAGAAATCTATTATCTCACAGTTTAGAAATCTAGAACTTTTTTTTTTATTTTGTGTGCGTGTACCGTCAAATCAGATCTGACTGGTACAGGAGGATATTGCGCCTCCTTTTCCGGCAGAGCATCTGGTGGATTCCAACCGTGTTCCTCTGGGATTGCAGTGCAGCTTCTTGCCACTAGGCCACCAGAGCTCCCCAGAAATCTAGAACTTTGAATGCAGGGCACTGGTTTAGGAGAAGATTTATCTAGCAGCTCTGGGTGAAGGTCCTTGTCTCCTTTCAACATGTGTGGGATATTTCTGTGTATCTTGGCAATGATCTTCCCCTGGGTCTGGGTTTAAAGAACATGTTCTACTCATGGCTTTTCCTTGGTAGCATTTAGGTACCTCTTCTCTACTTGCTTCTCTATCCTTTTATCTCTTATAAGATAAAAGATAATACAAGCCACATCCCAGGGAAACTCCCCTTGCATTGGACCAGGACTGTAACCTAGACAAGGGCCATTGTATCCCATGCTAGTCCCCATACAACTGATTGCCTGATCTTATCTGATCACATCATGGACATAGTAATATTACATAATTATCAAACCACTAAGAATCAAGTAAAACATATATATATTTTTTAATTTTTATGTGTACTGTCAAATCAGATCTGACTGGTACAGGAGGAGATTGCCCCCTCCTTCTCCAGCAGAGCATCTGGTGGATTTGAATCGTGTATTTCTGGGATTGCAGTGCAGCGTCTTGCCACTAGGCCACAAGAGCTCCAACATATATTTTGTGTTATATGCCATTAAGCCAACTTGTAGCTGACCACTCCAGTGGGTTTTCAGAGGCAGTAAATCCCGCTGGAGGAGACTGCCCATCTACCTCCCATGGAGCAGCTGGTGGATTTGAACTGCATATCTTTGGATTGGCAGTGCAGCTCCTTACCTCTAGGCTATCAGAGCTCCCAATACATATTTTAAAGGTACACAGTTCAATCCATGCCAACCTCTTTGGTTCTCTGCAAGTTGAAATAATGCATTAGGTAATCAAAACTGAACAAAGTAACTTTAAATATCATTGGGCAAATGATCCAGGCACCCTCCAGCAATCTTCTTTGTTTTGCCTGATGCCTCTGACTCTGCTCCCCTCTGGACTAAAACTCATTCTGCCAAGACGCCTTGAGACTTGGACTTGTGTGTGGAAAGTGTCATTAAGTTTTTTCCCTTAAAGATGTAACTGAATTATCTTCGCTACCTCCTCCAGGACTGAAAGGACACAGTGCCATAACTGTCCTCACTTACTTTAATGAATGCTTTCTGCTGGGGACTATTACACAGCAAAACAGAAGTGAGATGCATTCCTGGCTTGGCAGGAGACACACATTGACGATAAAACTGGCGAAAAGAATATGTTCCCTCTGTAGAAACAGCTCACCATGGAAATGATACAAGAGAAACCGAGTCTTGGGAAAGCTGAGCACTTGGAAAGGCCACATGGCCCACAGATAGTATCAGGATTTGAACCTGGTCCCTAGATATTTCATCCTGAATGCTCCACACCCACCACAGCCACCATTCTGGACTCTAACCCTCAGGCTCTGTTACAGTAAACTCCTTGAGATAAAGACTGGGTTCTGACCTTTAGAGGGTAGCTACAGCCACCAGCTCACTGCTGGACACAGAATGTCACCTTAATAAGTGCATGGGTGGAGTTTATCTTAAATGGAAGGTCACCTCTGGATGAGGTTATTGGCCCCCAAAGTGAAAGTCTCTCCCTTTCTTTTCCTTAGTCTCCCTGTGGCATCAGGCCAATTCTTAATTCCTTCACCATAATCAGCAATTTCAGAGTGGTAAGGTCATTTCAATCTGCCTCAGTTGTTCCCCCTTCTCTATTTCTCCTACTTGCAAATCCTCCCAGACCCTGTTTCATTCCTTGTAGTACCAAGATACATAGTGGGTTGAGAAGAAAGTTCTTGGCTTTTAGAACCAGATGAAAAGCTTTAGAATTAGGACACTTCTCTGCCTGGCTGCTGTGTGACTCTCAGCAAGTCATCTAACTCTTTGAGCCTTCATGCCTGTCTGTAAGATGACGATCAAATAGAACTTGATGATTACCATACTTGGCAAATCTCCCCAAAAATGTTAGCTCTATTATTTGTTTACCCATTTCTACAGCTCCCGTCTGGCCAGATCCACTAATTCCTGCTCTAATTCCATTTAGAAAGGCTGGAGATGCCATGGAAAGAATATTCCAACGCTTATAGTTCATATGATCTTGAGTAACTTGTCTTGCCCCTTAAGAGCCTGATTCCTTATCTGTACCGTGAGATTATGGTTGAATAATGTTTTGAAATACTAGCTTTCTTCTGCTCTCCTGTCCTCTTTCTTTCCATTACCTCTTCCAAGCAGGTATTTGGCTCCATGCTCATTGCCTCAGGAGGCTGTGAGAGCCCACATATCTTTTGGTCTTAGCCTAAAGGAAATGAGTTTTTCAAACTTAGATGTGGTGTATTAACATATTAAGAGAAAGGAATGCCAAATAGAGTCAAAGAATTCCAGGGTGAGGAGGAAGGAAAAGGGGAACAATCTGAGGGCCTGAAGACTTTATTGGCTCCTAAAACACTAGTCCCATCACAGTAAATTCTGTCCTACCCCTCTGACATAGACCACACAGTCTGCTTGTTCTACACCTGGCTCACTTCTCATCATCCTTGGGCTGGGCCAGTGGATCAGAAGTTCAGAGAACCACAGTCACTTATTGCAAAAGAATGGAGCAATTCCTATTCCATGAGATAATTCTTCCTATTCTGTGAGAATGTTCCCATTCCCATCCCTGTCCAGGAATGGGTTCGGCATGGCAGCTCTTCCTCTTGACTTCTCTCTCCCCTCCTTTAGGGGTTTGGGTCTTACCTTCTGTGGTGAGGCTGTCGATGAAGAGGGAGGAGGAAGTGGTGGTGAGGTCTCCATCAAGAGGGCTGAAGGAACTATCAGGAGAAGATGAGTAGTGATCTTGGTCTCGGAAATCCTCACATGTCTTGCCTTCTGCCTACAAGAGAGGTCCCAGCACTGCTATTTCTGGACAGAGGCCTCAGACAAGAGGACTGTGGAGTTGTCAGGAAACTGAGATTCTAGTACTTGGTGCAAGTGTGGTAATCTAACTAAAGCTATGCACTGAAGGCCTTTAAGCCTTCCACAACATCCTGAAATGCACCTTATCTTAGGGCCATTTATCTGTTAGTTATTCCAAGTCCGTCCTCACTGAAGGCTCTGAGAAGCCAAACTTAAACAAATAGAGCAAATCTGAGCATTCACCAACAGCCAGCATCAGGCGTGGAGTCAGGGATAAGATTGTTTTCTTCCCCAGAAGGAAACGACTGTTCATCTTTCATCTAGAAAGAAGTTCATCTGTTCATCAAGTTTACAGGACAACAATAGTGAGCATACAGCAATTAAAGTTTATGTTCAAATAAACACTGGGCCTGGAACTTCCTAGCTATTCAGACTTAGTAACCCCTGTTATAAAAGTCTCTCTTAAGCCTTAGTTTCCTTTCTGATCAGTGAAGGTAGAAATAGTCAGCTTCAGGGCCCTGTAAAGGTTAAATAAGAGTAAGAGTGGTCGGTGTTCAGTGAAGTGGTTGCCACATGCTATGTACTTGCTAAGTAAGTATTTAAACATGAAAAGAAGGAATGGAGAGTGGTTAAGGAAGGAAAAAGGAAACATGGATATATGGAACGCATCTGCCTGTGTTGGTGTAAGGTGTGAGAACAGGAGGCTTCCTGCCCAGAATCAAGCTGGTGGAAAATTCCAGCAGTGAGAAACAACCCGGGCCGGACCACCGGACCCTCATCTAAATGGGAGGGGCCTGGAACAACCCTCCTCACTCCCAGAATGACCGTCTCCCTCAAGAGCCAGAGGCTAGAGCTGTGGCCAGGACATAATTAATGTTACCAGGTGCATGGCCTCCCCAGAGGGCCCAGCTGTGGCTCAGGCCACAGCCAATGTGCCCTCTGCACAGATGAAAAAAAAATTCCTGGAACACGGTCACTTAAGGCCAAGCCACCAGGCAAAGTGCTTTTCTTAGGGACCAACCAAAAGGAAATTGGCTGGGCTGCCATTGAGAAGATTCTGACCCACTGTGATCCACATGTTGCTAAGTAGACTGCATCACACAGGGCTTTCATGACTGACCTTCTGGAAGCAGGACTTTCTTCTGGGAGGTATGAATCACCACCTTTCCAATAGTAGGTGAACAATTAGGTTGTCTGCACCACCCAGACCAAACCCATTGCCTTCGACTCAATTCTGACTCAGAGTGACCCCAGGGGACAGAGCAGAAGGTCCCACGGTATTTCCAAGCTGCAATCTCTAATGAATGGAGCTCCGGCGGCGCAGTGTGTACAGAGTGTGAGGCTAACCCAAAGGTGGCACCTTCCTCTCTGTTGGTTCAAATCTACCATCGGCTCCAAGGGAGAAAGACTGGCAATCTCCTCCCATTCAATTTACAGCCTTGGAAATAGAACAGAGGGTCAGCTATGAGTTAGTTCCAACTTGACAACAATGAGTTTTCCGGGTTAAGAATCTTTACAGAAGACGGCCCATCTTTTGCCTGTAGGATGGCTGGTGGATTTGATTCACCAACTTTTCCATTAGCTGCTGAGCACTAAACCCCTGTGCCACCAGAGCTCTTCACATAGCCTCCCCAGCCTCTCAGTGCCTCAGAACAAGCTGGAAAACAAGCCGAGGTGGAGGGGAGAATTTTACCAAGAGCTCCCTGGGGCAGGGCCTGCAGGCTGTCCCACTGTCCCCCACAGCCTGGCATGGGGGCCACAGCAGGTCACTGCTGCCTCTCACCTCCTGGGCACAGCCGTAGGCCAGCCACTCCTGGCGGTAGCGGTCAAAGCCACTGGAGCATCTGCAAGGGGGACCAAAAGGTCAGAGATGAGATGGGATGAGACAGGAAAGCCCTTCCCCTTCACTTCCCCTCAGACCCAGGCCAAGTTAGGGCTTTCTGATGGTACAGAGGGTCAACCACTCAGATCCAGCTCCCACGCTCACTGGACAGATCCCCTACTCCCTCTACCACTCCCTAGCCAAGTTAGGGCTTTCTGACGGTACAGAGGGTCAACCACTCAGATCCAGCTCCCACGCTCACTGGACAGATCCCCTACTCCCTCTACCACTCCCTAGAAGGAGAGGCTTGTGTTCCCCCATCATCCTCTGTCCCAGCTCTCAATGGAGAAGGTGGGGTGGTGGGTGCACTGCATGGTGTTTCATGACCTTCAGAGTCCCTTTGACTCTGTGGTACCTTGAAATGACTGAGAATCTAAGGAACTCATCTGGTGAAGACTAGATCAGTTACGGAATGTGGACACACTTCATCCTCGGTCCTTTGAAGAGGTCTACGTATGAGGCGAGATTGGCAGGGAGGGAGAAGCTGGGCCAAAGGTGAGCATTAGATTAGTCAACATGTCAGTGTGATTAGTAAAGGAGAGAAATAAGGCCTGTTTCTTATATGCAGAGGCTTTTTAAAAATCCCAAACTCATTGTAGTCATTTCCAATTCATAGTGACCCTGTAGGTCAGGACAGAACTTCCTGGTAGCTGATAATAGCATCATCTTGTAATCCTGGAACCTACCAATGAATGCAGACTCAGGGCATAAAGAATGACCATCTATTCAGTGGCTCCTGAGTGCCAAGTGCTGCCCCAGCCACACATGCTGGCAGCATCTCATGGGACCCTTCATGAGACTACCAGGCAAAGATCATGATTCTCATTCCCTGAGCCACATCCCAGAGTTAAGACTGCCCTCAGGCTCCTGGGTGGCCTGCTGGGGAAAACACAGTACGGGGGGGGGGGGGGGGGATGCTCATTCATAGGAGGGAAAATGGAATCTGATCTGGCTTCAGAGCAGGGAGCTAAAGGCAGGGAGCTGCAGAGGGAGGGAGAATGGAACTCCGAGAAGTTATGCTGTGATTGGATGCAACTTTTGATGGTTTACAGCCCCACAGCCTTGCCCACTGGCTTTGTAGGGATGTGCTAGTCTGCTGTTAGTTGTAGTTGAGGCTCTAAAGACCTGAAAGGTAGGGGTACGTGCTGGAGAGGCCAGGCTGACAGGGCAAGGGCGGGGCCTTCCAGCAACAAGTCCGCCTTGCACTCCCACTGACAGAGCCTCGACCTGTGCAGATCCAGGGAGGGCATCAGGCCTTGCTCCTTCCCCAACTTGAACAACTTTGTGGGGTTGAGCTGGCCCCAAGTCATTGCACTGGCATGGTATCTGGCTCCATTATTTTCTGCATGTGGATGGTTATGCTAAATGGGGGCTGCGTCAATGTGAGAATTTTGTTTGCATCTGACTCCCTTTGAGGTTCTCATAGCCCAGCATTTTGTGGATGCTGAGTCACGGGGTGGCAGCCAGCCCCAGGATTTCAGGGCTCAGCTGAGGTCAGCTGGCTTTTGTCTCTTCTGCTGAGACAATGGCTCCCAAACTTGCCAGTGCACAAGACAAGCCATTTTAAAGATCAGATTCCCAGGATCCTGGTCCCAGAGGTTGGTATTCAACGGGTCTAGGTGGGGTCCAGGAATTTGCATTTTTATCCAGTCTTCCAGCAGATATTGGGCTCAGAGTTTTGCTGCTCATATTTTTTTTCACAAATAATCATTTTTATTTGTAAGTATTAAAAGGCTGAATTTTAAACAGATTCTTGAACTGGTGGCTCATAGCCATCAGCTCGTTCAACTTTTGCACCTGTCTCATCTCCAGTAGCTTTTCCAGAGCTCCCACCTTCACCATGAAGCTCCATGAGTTTGCCCAATTCAAACTTGGGCTTCTTGAGCATTTTTACTTTCCTAACAGATACATCATGGAGAGGATAAATAGACTGACAAGCCTTTTCTATATCTTTTCCAATGCTGTCTGGAGTCAATTTATTGACCACCTCATTTTTCTGCACTTCTCGGGTCATGATTTCCATCATTTTCTTCCAGATTTGGCGGACCTGTTGGTGCTGAGCATAAGATGTCTACCTAATCTGATTGTTGCATTTTTTTTTTAAAACCAACACAAAATAGAGGAAGTAAATAACGATTGGTGGTTTTGAAATCAACATGTGCTTCAATCACGGTCTGCCATTTTTTGACCATGGAGCACATTTTGTCCCAGGTAAGATCCATGCCATGGAAGTTGGGTTTTGCCTTGAACATCCTCAGTAATTAGCTTGAATTTTCTAAATGCACCTTCATCATTTTGCAAATCAGCAAGGCTCACTTCAAAGACACGACCCTTGAGTCCATCAGATGCAATTTTGGTTCCTTGAGTCCTTGTGACTAATGTCTTCCCAATATTTTTTATATTGAACATTGCTGGAGCCTTTACATCATACCAATCTTTCTTAGAAAATGGATCAACCACTTTCTTCTTGGCTCCTTTTTTTGCCACCTTTTGTAAGGCGCTTGTTCTTGCTGACTGCCATGGTGGTGCCGAAGGAACGAAAAAGCATTTTTTAAAACAACAACAACAACTAGTCATGTTTTTTAAAACCCTGATCCACAGACCGCCAAGCTGGGTCTACCCCACATATTTCTCCCAGGCACTACCATCTCTCTCATGCATGGGGTTCTGAGGGCTTTGTAGAAAAGCTGCCTTTTTTTTTAAGAGATAAAGCAATGAATGAATGGAAATCCAGATTCTCTGTAAATGTTCATTGAAATTATTGAAAAAAAGAGATAAAACAATGGTAGGTGGATGAATAGGGGATGTGTGTGTTCCTCATCTGAGCCACATAACCTCAGCCCATTTTAAAGGAGAACAAACTGAGGTCTCTTAGAGAGTGAATAAAAACACAGCTGATGAGGAGCGAGGAGCACAGGGGGTTCTGACTTAAGTCCCTCCTTTCCTCCCCAGCACAGCGCTGTGTCCCGTATGCTAAATAGGTGGGTTGGATAGACAAGAGCTTCTGTTCGTGCACCAGGAGCCTGGAGAGGAGCAAAGCGAACACTGACAGATGCATGGCTGACAAACGCTGGCAGCTGCATGAGAACACGGAGACTGTCATTTTGCAATTTTCAAGGTGGCCTCAGAGACTCTTGGAGTTCATAGGGCTCCCCACTCTCATGAGAGCCCTGGTCCCCAAAGACATTATTGTTATTATTATTTACTGTTTATTATTCTTTTTCTTCTTGCCATTTATTTATCTTGATCAGGAGAACAGAGCTCAAATTCTGTGAGGAAGTGATTTCAGAACAAGGAGTGGAACAGGAGTTGGATTTCAGTAAACTTGACTCTCACCCAGAATTCCCTCTGTTCCCAAAACCAAGCAAACAACAACTTTGGTAGCTTCTCCCAACTTTCCATGGATGTCTGTAATTTCCACCTCCTGGTTTTCAGGAAACCCTGATGCAGCCTGGGAACAATCTCAAGGCGGAGCTTTAGAGTCACGGGCTCTTGCCCAACAGCATTAAGTCTTTGGCTCAAGTCCTGTCTCTAAGTCTACAGTTCTCTCATGCCTGTTTGCAGCCGAGGGGCCATGTTAAAACACAGGCCTCTGAGGTCCTCTCCCTTTGATTCTGATGCAGAGGGTCTGGAGTGGGATGTCATTGTGTATGTCTACTGCTGTGGACCATTCTTTGAGAAGCCATGCCCTGCAAAGGGACAACCCTCCCTTTTCCAGAATGTGAAAATTTTCCTGTGACATTGTCTCAGGTCATACTCTGCCACCCCCGTACCTTGACTGGTACCTCAGGCAGAAGTACACTTCTGTGACAATCTTCTCCTAATGGTCAATGGTGACACTGGCCAGAGATGGCCTCATGTTGGCAAACTGCTGGCAACTGTTAGCAAACTGCTCAGCCAAGAGGCCGGGAATGGAACTGTGCCATCCTCTGGCCCTCCTTCATCACGGCTAATGGGAACCAGAGGACGAGCTGGGCACTAACCTCTGGAGGACATGGCACCAGCTGCAGTTGAAGGTCAGGTCCGAGGACATGCAGGCTTCACAGCTCTGATGCTGCAGGCAGGCTACAAGACAGAAAGCAGAGGCAATGGATGCTGGATGCCTCACAGGCACAAAGGTACAGATTCACTAAAAGCTGGGTGCTCACAGATCTTTGACTTGGCCGGGGCCTTACAGGCCACCCTTGAGTCCAGCCCTGATCTATCCCTCTTCCCTCCTCTCTCATCCATCCATCCAGACATTATCCTCCTGGGTCTGGCCCTGAGATGGTGCTGGAAATTCAGCAATAAGATCGGGTTCCTGCTTTCTTGGAGCTTAAAGTCACATGGAGAGACAGACTCTGAAAAAAAAAAATCAAATACAAACTATATACTTATGTGATATGGTCTACCCCTTTTAAAAAATTATTATTATTATTTTGTGTGTGTGTACGGTCAAATCGGATCTGACTGGTACAGGAAGAGATTGCCCCTCCTTCTCCATCAGAGGTGGATTCGAACTGTGCGCCTCTGGGATTGCAGTGCAGTGGTCTATCCCTTGAGGGTGCTAAAGTATATTCAAAGGGATTTCAACGCATCTGGGAATTGTACTTCCAGGTCATTGGCTACAGCCATAGGGTTGAAAGGGATTTTTAAAGCTGATCTGGTTTGACCACTTCCAGGATGCCGGTGTGCACTGTTTGTGTGGGTTGACCAGGCATGTGCAGTCCCACTCCTTTCTCTGCTACTGGAAGTGAGCAATCTGGACGTCAACTCTTCACAAGTCTCTCTACCTTTCTGTGCTTCAGATACCACACTTGTAAACCGGAAATGGTAATATGACCTGTCTGTCTACATCACTGTGATGTTGAAATGAGATGACCTGTTGTTGTTGTTGATGTTGTTGTAGAGCTGACCATGACTTATAACAACCCTATGAACAACCGACCTGAACCTTGCCTCGTCCTAAATCATCTTCACATCTCTGATGTACTTGAGCGCATCATTATTGTGTAAGTCACTGAGTCGACCCATGTTGTTGAGGGTCTTCCTCCCTAGAGGATGTCAGAGCACCTGACACATTGTGGGTGCCCAATCAGTATTATCTCTGATTACTGGCTGACTCAATCCCAACTATACTGAGGTTTTCCATTCACTCAGTCATTCATTCCTCCAACAAATATTTATCAAGTGCCCACCATGGGCAAGGCACTTTGCCAGATAGAGAAACAACAGAGAAGGGGCCCACTCTGAATGGAGCTGATGTCTCATGGAGGAGATCGTCACCATACATGCAGAGAAAATCCACACCAGGGTGCTGGTGGGGAGAAAGATGGGGAGAAAATAGAACAGAACAGAGAGGCAGAATGGTAGTGAGGGATGCAGGCAATGAGCAAGGCCTCGCACAGGGAGGACATATGGGCAGAGCCTGAGGAGGGAGGCAGGGAACTCCACAGCTTTCCCGGGAGAGAGAAGTCAAGGCAGAAGGGATCCTGTGTGCAGAGGTCCGGGGAGGAGCATGTTCCAGGCACGTTCCTGAGAGGCAGAGTGGAAAGAAGGAAAGTAGCAGGAATGAGGAAGAAATGCAGCGGGGAGGCAGCCCGGCAGGATGGGAGTAGAGGGCAACAGGGCCGGGGGGCACATTGCTGGAGGGTGCTCAGACCGCTTTGGTCACCAGCCTAGCAGAGAGAGAGGTGTGGAGCGTGGTGAATTTAAAGGTATCTACTTGTAAGCAAATGCGGCTCACTTAAGTGAACTTGAATGACTATGAGTGGCAAAAGCAGTCACAGAGTCCTTGGATTTTACTACAAGGAGAGATGGGCGCTCATGTACAGTAACTGTGTCTAATATAAGACACAGTGTCACAAGAAGTGACACCTGACTACAGAAAAATGACACATCATTCAATAAGCTCTCCACACACATCTACTGGATGGGGGTTTCCTGGCAGCTGTGCCACGATCCATTAAGTAGGGAGCCCACTTTGCTCTCTGTGGAACCCTGCAAGACAGTGGATGGGAGCCAGGACTTGGTGAGTATGAGACAAATGATCTGATCACCTTTTGTAGTTCTGTAGAAAGCTGTTGGTAGGATTGAGTCCTTTTGCTCAACAGAGCTTGAGCAAATCCTGGAAGGATTGATGGAAAGCCACTGGCGGGAAATAAACAAAGACTGGTCTAGACAAGAGCTCTCTGTCTGTTTTGTTCTCTGATATATCCCAAGACTTTAGAACAGTGCCCAGTACATGGTAGGCAGTTAAGAAATGTTTGTAGAAATGATATTTAGATGTTCTGGTTATCATCATTTTATAGAAAACTGAGACTTGGAGAGAATATGAATAGAGGTCTGGCTAAGTCTAAAGTCTGAACTCCTAGCTGTAAAATCTCTGTGGGCTCTCCAGCCTCACCCAGGCCACCTTTTCAAGGGTCTCTCACTTAGAGGAGAGATTGACTTAGTCAGGAGGGGCTGGACAAAAAATGGCTTGAAGATAGCACTGCACACTTCCACCCAGGAGGAGAAACAATCCCAGGTGCCTTGGTCACATCCTCCCACCCCCCATGCCACCACCACCTCTACCCAGTGATGGAGAGGAAAGCCAGGTGTGTGCAGAAAGAGAAAGCTTTCTCAGGACAAAGCTAACCAGCCACCTGGGGCTCAAATCACCACCTAAATAGCATTGGCTTTCCCTCCCCAAACAGCTGCAGCTCAGGACCAGTCATTCCTGTTGACTCTGAAGGCCCCTTAATAGGCTCCAACTCAAACTAAGCCATGAGAAGAAGCAGTGGAACCTCACGGTGTATCATAAAATCCACTGACCTTTACTTCTCATCTGCATTTCAGATGTCCTGCTAACTATGAAATGCTCTCAAAATTCACCAGAAGGGCAGCAAGTGGCTTAGATGTACAGACAGCGTGTCCCAGAAATGCATTCCCAGGATGTTTCATGCTTCCTTGGTATTTCTACCCAGCAGTTAGTTCTGCCCTTCGACGCCCTTGCTCCCAAATGCAGTTTCACGCAAATCCTAGGACTTAAGGTTTGCGCTCATCTGTCCGTGAGGGACTCCTTATTCACAGGCTCCTGCATAGAGGGAGGAGGTATGACCTGTACAGGTGTCCCAGCCCTGTGGCCCCACGGTTTCTGCATCTTCTCCAGGGAACACCAAGGACAGGCCCACAGACCTGCTGAGCCCTGGCCTAACATTCTAGAAGTTCTTTCCCTTTTCTCCCAGAACTTCCAGGGAAGAGGCAGGGAGGAAGGGAGAGGCAAGAAATGTCACGAAGGCAGAGAGAAGGCTATGGCTTCTAAAGGATGCTGGCAAATACGTGAGATAAGGATGCTGGCCATTTCATGAGACTGGAGATGAAATGAAAATCCTCTTTTAAAAAGACAAAAATGGAATGTGTCTGCTTTTCCCTCCCTCTCCCTAGCTGCTCTGACCAATCCCAAAGAGCATCCAACCTCGATTTGAGGGGGTCTATGCGAGCAGTACGGCCTCTGTTGTGAGGTCACACTGGTGCCTTCAACCATAGGTGACTGAGTGTACAGGGGGCTGATTCTAGTGGTTCTCTAAGAACACTTTTCCTGGATTTCAGTAATAGCAATACCTGTCACAGTACAAACCTCACATCGGACCTGGGACATGTCAGAGCTGCCATTTATGTTCTAAATGCTACTCACTTGTATTTCCTCTAGGAGGGAAGTGTTGCTAGACCCATTTTACAGATAAGAAATGGAAGTCCTGAGAAGGTTAAGTGGTTTCACCCATACAAGGATCCATGACAAAGCACTGATCAAGTCTGCATAATATCAAAGTCCCAGGCATTTTCAGGACAGCAGAATGCCCCTGCCCTCCACCCTGGTCAGTGGGAATGAGCCCTGCTTACTTGGCAGAGGGGTAAACTCTACAGCTGATGTACTGGTGACTTTGCTGGGGTCCAGCTCGACACGGTGGTATTCAAAGATGGTCCTTCTGCGAGATTCTGAAACAGAGGCACAGCCTATCATCATCTCACAGCCACAGGGCTTCATGGCTCTTCCTGGAGCCTGGGCAAGAGATTGTAGCAAGGGATTCCTAAACATGCATGTATGTAACAAGGGGTTGTACAGTAAGTTAGCATGTAGCCAGTAAGAGCAGGAAGTCACTCCATCAACCTGTGATAATAATGTCCCATCAGGCTGGGATAAGGTGCATGGACAGGCAAGTTGAGCTGGAGAGGAAAGCACTGTTATAAGCAGGTTAAACTACTCGACACGGAGGCCTGGCTGGGTCCTGGGACAGGACACAGGAGATCTCATGCTTGCACTAGTGTCTTCACATTGCTCTTCCTTCGGTCCATAATGTTCTTCCAGACCATTCCTTCTTGAAAACTCATCTTTGCAGATTCAGGTCAAGGTTCAACTCCTCTGAACAACCCTCCTTGATTAGCTCTCTTTCCTCCCTGCCCAGACTATTGGGTCTCTTCCCACAGCACTCAGCACATCATGGCCTATTTGGAAGGTGGAAGAGTGCTGACATCTAGTCCTCAACGTGGCCCACAGCAAACACTCTACAAAAAATGTCTGTGGGGAAACAGTCTGACCTTGGAGAACCTTGACCTTGCTGGGAAAGAGACCCAAGCAAAGTTCAGCCCAGGTTTAAGCCCTGCTTTAGGTCCTGTAGGAACTTTCTGCAGAACTTGAAGTCTAGTCTGATTCCAGTTCTGCTCCTCACGTTTTTCTTTTGCTTCTAACTTGCTGGGTACCCTGGGGTAAGACATTTGGGCCTCATTTTCTTTTGTCTATGGAGTGGAGAGACAGAAATATCTGCTATAACACACTTGGGAGACAGAAGCTAGATTTGCAGATAAAAATGTCTTTGCTTGAAACATCAACTTGGAATGTTCTGACATTTCCTATCACACCATTCACCCAAGAAACCAGAACCTGGAATGGTTTCCTTCAAATCTGAAAGGCAGAAACCAGTCCCTGAGGATTATGAATGAGCACTCCTTCCACAGGGGAAAAGGCTCTTTAACTCTGCTTCCAGGCCTGGTCCTGAAATGTGGCCTGACCTAGTCACTGGCCACTAGAGGGCTCCTAAGAACATGGGGGAGAGAAGCCTGCATCTGGAGGGAGAGACCACACAGAACAGAGGCCAGTGCAGTTGCTGTCAGATCACTTCTCTGACCTTGATCAAGAGACTCAAATTCTGTGAGCCTCATTCCAAGATGGGCTAATTATACGACTTTAATGGGGTGGTGCTTATGTTTATGTTGTTTTTGTTGTTGTGTACACTACAGTCAGAACTGACCCATCGTGATCCTCCCTCCCATGGGTTTTCAGAGGCAGTTAACTGCACAGGAGGAGACTGCCCATCCTATCCCCATCCTTCTCCAATGAAGCACCTGGTGGCCTCGAGCCACACGCCTTCGGGATGACAGTGGAGCTTCTTTCCACTAGGCCACCAGAACTCACATGTGTGTAAGTGTGTATGTGTTTGGCAAAGACTCAGATCTCAACATTCAGTGCTGTTAGGAGCTATTGAGTGGCCTCCAGCTCATCCACCCGATGGATAACAGAAGGAAACCCTGCCCAATCCCCCACCATCCTTACAAAAGCTCTTGTGCTTAAGCTCACTGTTGTAGTCACCACGTCAACCGATCTTTGAGGATCTTCTTTTATTGCGATTCTACTTTTCCAAGGGAGCTCTAGTAGCCTAATGGGTAAGGAATTGTGCTGCCAACCCAAAGGCCGGTGACATGGGTCCATCAGCTGCTCATTATGAGAAAGACGGACAATCTCCTCCTACGTAATTTACAAGCCTCTTAAAACCCACTGGAGGATTAGCTATCAGTTGATTCTGATTCAAGGACAATGAGTTTTAGTTGTACTTTTCCAAACATTGGCCTTCTCTGGGGAATTGCCGTTGTTGTTAGGTGCCGTTGAATCAAGAATGACTCGTAGAAATCCTATAAACAGACTTGAATCCTGTCCTATCCTGTGTTGTCCTCACAGTCTCAGACACCCTCAAGCCCACTGCTGCGGTCATTTTGTCAGTCCATTTGGTTGAGGGTCTTCCTCTCCCTCGCAGTGATATTCCTCTCCAAGGAACAGCCTCTCCTAGCAACATGCCCAAAGTATGTGAGGCGAAGTTTCATCCTTATGCCTCCAAGAAGCACTCTGGCTGCACCTTCTCCAAGATAATATCTGTTCTTTTGGCAGTCCATGGGGTATTCGGCACTTTTCTCCAGTTCAAAGACACCACACTAGCCTTCCTGCTAACATGTCCAAAGTATGGGAGACAATGTCTTGCCATCCTTGCTTTTTTCCTTTTCTTTTTCCAGCTGTGACTTCCAATAGGATCCAAAGAGAAGGCCTTTGATCTCCTCTTTGGGTTTTCCGGAGACTTCCATTACCCTTCTGTGTTGCCATCTTGCTTTTAAAGAACATTCTCATTGTACTTTTTAAAAGATAGATGTGTTTTTTCTTTTGGCAGTCCAGGGGATATTACATATTCTTCATCAAAACCACAATTCAAAAGCATCAATTCTACTTCAGTCTTTCTTATTTCTTTTTTTTTTGTTTTGTTATTATTTTTGTGTGAGTGTACCGTCAAACCAGATCTGACTGGTACAGGAGGAGATTGTCCCTCCTTCCCCGGCAGAGCATCTGGTGGATTCGAACCATGCGCCTCCGGGATTGTAGTTGCAGCTCCTTGCCACTAGGCCATCTTTCTTATTTCTTAAACCACACAGTAGCACCTCCTTGTTCTGCTGGAATGATTGCTTCTATAGACAGGTTCTGCATGAGGACAACTAGGTGTTCCAGAATTCCCATTCTTTGCAACGTTATCCATAATTTACTATGATCCACACAGTCTTTGCATCGTCAATAAAACACAAGTAAACATCTCAGTTTATACAGACAACAACCAGCTGAGGTCAGGATGGAGAGATCTTATTTGTAGCATCTGCCAATTTCCACGGTGCAAATATATCCACCACGCCCATTTTCAAGCCACCAGCTGAGAGTCATCACACACAGAGCTGAGGAGAGACACGCTCAGTCGGCTTTCTTGGATGATCCAAGCAACTCCTGCTTGTGGTTTCTTTATCTATGTTTCTAACAAGCATCCAAAGTAAACATTTCTATCTTTTCTCTTTTAAAAATTATTAATTATACCGCATCCCATCAAGATGATTTTTTTTCCCCTGAGCAACTGTAAGGCTGAGAGAGACAAGTCTCTTTTCTATCAGGCAGTGACCGTATGTCTACGAGCTTACCCTGGTCTTCGGCAGGAGAGACCAGAGGCTGAAGAGTGGAGGCTCACAGGGCCCTCCCAACACCTACCCACACGTACAGATTGCTGATACAAGAGAAGGCCATGCCCAGGGCCTGAAACAGATTGTGTGAGGAAGGGCACCTTTTCATGATTCATCTAATGAGAAAGAGCAGCAATTTTCAACTTGCACAAAGACTCAATGTGTGGGCAGAGTCCTCCCTGTGTGACACACCGAGTCTATGAGAAGGTGGTCTGGGCCTTGAGTGAGCTGAACAACAGTGGGAAGTCTAGGGGGATGGAAAAGTTCCAGGTGGCCTTCCACAGCTCTACCCTCACCCATCATCTCTCTTTCTGAAAAATTACCCCTTTTAGGACCAAAATATAATGGGCTAAAAATGAAATGTGGAGTTTCAGGTCTGTCATCTCTTGCTTCCCATGATGCGTAAGGCCACTGAGTCTAGAATCTAATGTAAATCCTTTATCTACTCTATCCTTCAAGATTTGGATCAAAAAATAGATCCTTTTTGAGCCTTTCCCACCCTCAGGCAGAATTAGTGGCCCCTGCACAGGTCTCTGTGCAATCAAGGACCAATGTCACCCTGCTGTACTGCTGCTCACCTAGCTGTGAGCTCCCTCGGGGCAGAATCTGTGTGTGTTAGTTGTTTCTGTGCCCTCAGGCCCTACCTAGCCTTGTACCTAGAAATGAAAAATAGTCATTAAAAACCTCAGCACCTTATTATAACTTATTATAACTTTAGACTGAAGGAAAAATCCCTTCCTTTCCAACCCACTACAGATTATGACCGTTCTCAAAAGGGCAGCCGCCAAACACCCACAGAAACTGTCGGACATACGCTGCCCAAGTCGGATAGAGCCCTACAAAGCAGGATTTCTCCACTGCACGGAGGTCAGGAAAAAGGGAAAATGAGAAAGAAAAAGGGGGCTCGGGGATGGAGTGGAAATGGAGGCACTGACTTGATTTCAGAGACTCCAGAACCCTTCACACCAGAATCTGAGATGGTCAGATGTCCTCCAGAATCTCCTATCAAGAGATTCCTAATAATCTTCCTACCAGGGCGAGGAAGACAAGCGAGGGGTGGTAAAGAGTGAAGGCTGATGTGTGCAAATACAGTTCTAATTAAAAAATATTTGCTCACTTCAACTGCCAACTGGCACTTGTTTGATTGTGTGACTTTCGTAATACTTTTATTAACAGAATCCTTAACATCCTCGCCTGAGCTATTGGTTTTTGGACTATTTTGTCAATGTCTTAGGCTCACCAGAGGCTAATAATCTCCATTTGCATGATCCTTCCTAGAACCAAAACATAGCTATCCCCAGTCACGTTTCTGGAAGTGTGAGAGGCTTCATCTCTGCCTCTGATTAAAGATTCAGACAAACTAAGGTCCAGACCTGGACACACTGCTACCCAACCAAAACATGCTAAGAGTTCAAAAGAGAGGTCAACATGTCCAGTTTAGTTTTGATACCAGGTTATCAGTGGGAGGGAGTTGGGCTACTCAGGAAAGATCAGGAGACTGACAGGTCCTGTCATAAGTTTCCCCAAAACAGGTGGTAATGGTACAAAAAACAGAAGGTGGTGTTCTGAGACAGGTTTCATTTATGCATTCTTTTGTTCATTTATTTTCTTTTCCTTTCAGTAACCATGAATCATCAGCAGAACCCAATGAAGGTTCTGGATCCCAAGGAGCTTTTCAT